TCCACATCCTCCCCAACACTTGTTCTTTGTAGACTTTTTGATAATATTCTAACAGGTGTGAGGTGATATCTCATTGTCATTTTGGTTAGCATTTCCCTGATCATTAGTGATGCTGAGCACCTACTCATGGACCTGTTGGCCATCTTGTACATTGTCTTCGGAAAAATGTCTATTGACACCATCTGCTCACTTTTTAATCACATTTTTTTTGCTATTAAGTTGTATGAGTACTTTATATATTTTGGATACTAACCCCTTACCAGATATATGATTTGCAAATAGTTTCTCCCATTGGGCAGGTTGCTTTTTGATTTTGTTGATGGTTTCCTTTGCTGTGCAGAAGCTTTTTAGTTTGATGTAGCCCCACTTGTTTATTTCTGCTTTTGTTGCCTTTGCTTTTGGTGTTAAATCCAAAAAATCACTGCCAAGACTGATACCAAGGAGCGTCCCACCAGTGTATTCTTCTAGGAGTCTTAGAGTTTCAAGTTACGGATTTTTCTTGTGAAAAGTCACTAATGCTTATTCCTTTCCTATTCTCACTGTCATACCCTAATTAAAGTCTCTCTGGCTCTTGTTTCTCCCTTAATCAGGGCCTGTGACTTACTGCTTTCAGAATGATTTTCCTAAAATTCCTCTTCCAACATGCAACTTAATAAAGCTGTATCAACCCCTTCTGAGTGAAGTCCGTGATGCTAGGTGTTACTCCTTCCTCTGTATTTCCTACTGGAGGTCCTGTACTAATGGGTTCTCCATCCTTCTCTCATCCAACCTAGAATAGGGCATCATGCCAGCATCTCTCCAGCACATGTCAGTTTTCTCTGAATATCTCTTTTCCAAAATCCTTTCCATTCTCACTGATACTGTCTTAATCCATTCAGTTTTGCCTTAATTAATGCACTAATCTCCTAAATTGGCATCCATTCTTGTTTCCCTCAGTCCTCATTGTGTTCAGAGCAATATTTAAAAATACAAATTTTAGTCTGCCCTGGCCCATGTAAATTCCTTCAATAGCTTTCCATTACCTCCAGGACAAATCAAGCGTTCTTAACATGCATGCATTATTTTTCTCAGTCTAGCCTTGTCTAACCCAAAATGTTGAGAGCGGGTCCTTAGGTGTCATTATGAGGAGCATCATCTCATCTCATTTTTGTGCCGGAGACCCAAACTTTCTGTCTATGAAAGAGATGGAACTTACCATTCCAGATCACATGCTTCATTATGTAGGGTCGCATCCCAGCCTTGGAAAGAATGGTCTCTACTGTAGTCAAGTTAAAGCTTACTATTTTGCTGAATTCCAAAGAAGGAACCGATAGCGGGTTCTTTTCCTTTAACCAGATGGATTCTTTCCCCAGAACTCGGACTCACCAGTTCCAGATCAAACCTAGGCAAGTGTCAGTGCTTCCTTCCAGCCTCCCTTGGACCACACTGGATAGGGAGGAGTTGCATTTGCAACCCAGAGTAGAGTAGAGGGCTTTGTTCCTCATCTCTCTAGGCAAGATACAGAGCTAGCTAGAAGTAAAGGTGAGAACTGGGGGTTGGAGTAGTATCACCCTAGGAATGATGAAAACAACCCAGTCTGAGCAGAGGATTGGCATTACAGCCAGTGAGTGTTTTCCGTTACCCCAGGCTGCCAGGGAGAAAATCAGAGTGTCCTCCCTCTCCTCCTGCTAACTGAGTGTAGACCAGGTTCTAATTAAGAGCAGCTGGGCTCTCAGGACCTCGGCTGTAGGGGCAGGAAAGTGTTAACTCAGCAGGCATTGGTTTTTCAACTTCAGCCCATTCCAAAGAAAGGTGTGTCTTTAGGTTCAGGCTTTGGCCAGTTCCTGGGAGATAACTTCTGAGACCTTGGAACATTCTGCCAGCTAAGAGTCTTTTGTTTGCCTGAGGTCTTGGGCCAGGGTACCCCTGTTTGACCAGATTGGCTTACCCTAAAAAAATGATTTATGTGTGGAGCAACAGAAACTCTCATTCACTGCCAGTGAGAATGGAAGATGGTGTGGCCATTTGGGGAGATAGCATGGTGGTTTCTTGCAAAACTAAACATACTCTTTATCATTCTATTTAGGAATAGTGCTCCTTGGTATTTACCCAAATGAGCTGAAAAGTTATGTCTATACAAAATCCTGCCAACGAATGTTTATAGCTGCTCTATTAATTTCCCAAACTTGGAAGCAACCAAGATGTCCTTCAGTAGGTGAATGGATAAATATATGTGGTATATCCAGGCAATGGAATATTATTTAGTGCTAAAAAGAACTGATTTCAGCACACATTCAGACCTTCCTGAGTGCCCTGCTTCTTGCCTCCAGCACTCTTGAACCTAATTACACGCACAACCCTGTAGGTAAGGACCCCAGAGGGGATGTGTGCTTTCTGTTAAAACTGCTCTGGTCCTCATCTTTTCTTACCAGATTCCAAACTTTGTTTTCAAGGGAAGGGTTTAAAAATGGGATCTGTAAACAAAAGTAGGCAGTTTCATCTTGGAATAGGTTGTCTGCATGTGTCCTAATGTTCTGTAGAACACTTGTGCCTGTTTAATTGTATTGATGTGGACACTATTAAATATCTTAATTATTTAAATAAAAAAATCAGGCCATGTCTAACAAGCCATGAAAAGACATGGAGGAAACTTAAATGCATATTACTAAGTGAAAAAGGCCAATCTGAAAGTCTACATACTGTAGGATTCCAACTATATGACGTCTGGAAGAGACAAAACTATGGAGACAGTATAAAGATGAGTGGTTTCCAAGAGTTAGGGGTGAGCGAAGGATGAATAGATTGAACACAGAAAACATTTATGGCAGTAAAGCTACTCTGTGTGATAATGGTGGATACATGTTATTATAAACTTATCCAAACCCATAGAATGTACGATACCAAGAATGAACCCTGATGTAAACTATGGAGTTTGGGTGATTATGATTTATCAATGTAGGTTCATCAATTATAGGAAATGTACCTACTCTGGTGGGTGATGTTGATAACAAGGAAACTGTGCATGTGCGGGGACAGGAAGTATATGGGAAATCTCTGTACCATCTGCTCAATATTGCTGTGAAACTAAAAATGCTCTGAAAATGACATATATTTTTAAAAAATAAAATGTGACGTATATTGAATGCCTGTTTTTGCTCTGGGCAGATGGGTACTCTCTGTGTACCTGAGGTCATTTATACAGACCTGCATGCCTGTATAACTGACCTCCAGTATAAATCATGGACACCAAGACTCAGTTGAGTTGCTTTTTTGGGGGAACACTTTGTAGGCGTTGTCAAATTCATCACTGGGAGAATTAGGTGTGTCCCTGTGCAATTCCACTGGAACGGGACACTTGGAAGTTTGTGCCTGGTGTTTCCTGGACTTCATCCTCTGTACCTTTACCCTTTCCTTATCTTCATCTGTATCTTGTTCCTTTACCCTTGTTCCTTATCTTATCTGTAATAAATCATACCCATGAGTCCAACAGCCTTCCTGAGTGCTGTGAGTCCTTTCAGCAGATCATTCAGCCTGATAGTGGTCTTGCAACCCTTGGCATAGCTGCCTATGCCTACAAACCACCAAAGTATATTTTAAAGAATTAATCATGTACTTAGAATTCAAACATCACCTTTTCACTTAAATTTAAATTTGTTGCATTGTAAGCAATTTTCACCATTTCTTGTTAGTTTAATGCCTAGTTTGTGGATTCCACTATAAGGCTGCCTTTGCTTCCTATACCAATCTCTTTCCCAGTCAGCAGTGGCTGTAGAGACAGGTTGTTTTCACTTGAAGCTGGAGGCATATCTCATTCCAGCTTTGAAAGGGAGGAAAAAAAACAAAGCAAAACAAAGCAATTTAAGAGACTCTTCTTAGAAAGGGGCAGGTCTTCATGGGCTTGTGTGAAATGATCAGTACATCCCTCTTTCTTCATCCTAAAAGTTGTATGATGAAATCAACTATAAATAAATATCCCAAACTATAACATAGCCCCAGTTTGGTTCCAGGTGTGACTAAGGTAACAGTTTCTATCTTGCCCAGTTTGGATGCTCTTCTTATATTGAGCTGGGTCACTGACTTTTTTTCTCTGTTCCCCACCGATCAGGTCTTTGATCATCTATGTTAAATGATCACTCCTCATACAGGATCTGTGATGTCGACTCCGGAGAACGAACAGCCTTTGCATTAGCAGTTGCTTCATCAGTTGTAGTTCTCCCTGACCACGTGCCATTGAAATGCCTGCAGTGACTGCTGCTTTTCTAGGAGTGGGGCTTCTGTACCCGTGCAGTGCTCTCTGCTCCCTGCCTTGTCTCCCTGTGCTCTGTCTATACCAGTCTGCTCCAGGGCAGTGCTGTGGGAAGCACTTTGCATTTCACCCTCCATTTCTGGAAGGAGAGAGCAGACAGAATTGGACTGAAACAGGCTCTTCCACTGCACAGAATGTATGGAGTTGATGATACCTTGTGCAGTCTCAGGGTTTTATTGTTTAACCATTTTATATCCATTTTAAGAGTAGATGACAGTTATGCCAAAGATAGACTGTCTGCATTTTCCTAGTTCAAGTTTATCAAAATAAGTTAAATGTCTTTTTTCTTTTGCACTACAGGATGGTAATATGGTTTTCCTCTTTTGGTCTATTAATACATTTTCCACAATTGAATTATCCTTGCATTTTTGAAATTAACTTTGCTAGGTCATTCTTTAACATTTAAAAATATTCAAAGTAAATGAGCTCATCTTTTACTTAAAGAGTTTTGTGTCAGTTCTTTTAAGGGCAATTGGTTTGAAGTTTGTATTCTCCTTGTTAGAATGGCTGCTAACTTCATATAAGGAAGAGAAACAGTTTCTTTCTTTATCTGTGTTCTGGACCAGTTTATATAACATAGAAACAATTTGTTCCTGGAAAGTTTGAAATAATTCATCTGTAAAACCATCTGGGTCCGGCACATTTTTGAGGAGTAGTTCTGTGACAACTTTATTTTTTCCATGAAAATTGATTTATTTAGATTTTCTACCTCTTCAAGGGCCAATTTTGGTAATTTATATTTTCTTAGACTACTGTTCATTTCTTTCTGATTTTATTATTATAGAGATGTGCAGAGCATTTTCTTAGAGTTCTTTTAATATCCTCTGTTCTCTTTTTCATTTCTATCTTTGGGTACAGGGCACTTCTGACAGCATAACTGCTTCTTGTATGATTGTTAAAAAGTCAAGTCATTATGAGACACGTTTTTAGACAAAGTCCTATAGATACAGTGTTACAAATTAGAGTTCTGGTCCTATTCATACTACAAAAATACGAATGTTTATCGTAACAGCAAAAGGCAAGGAAATTACAAAGAATAGTTAATTAATGGCAAATGTTTATAAATTCATAAAAAATATTTAAAATAAAATATAGATTGCAACTATCCCTTGTGGAGGATTTTTCTCTGTGGAATTACACTAGATAAGCATTCTTAAAATGAATTCAGAAAGTTTGAATTGAGATTATTTTCCCTGTTACTTGAAAGATTTCTTGAAGCGAATACAGAGTCTCTTCATTGATCAAAGTAGTATCTTCTGCCTTGAGAATTCCATTGTGCATTTTTTGAATGGTAAATTCTGGGAGGTGGGGTTATTTTTGTGATAATTCTATGTTCATCTAGAGGTTAATTCATCTAGAGATGAATCTGGAAAGAGAGGCACAGTGCAGATTACCATGCGTCCTGTATGTTACGTACCATCTATAGAATTTTGGGCCATAGAATTCTTCTCCATTCTTCTTGCCCCTTCCCTAGACCCCTAGTATCACCCACCTGGCAAAAGCCCCCCAGACATAAAATGCTCTCATGTGAGATCACTGGGACCAATGGCTTGTCAGTGTTGTTTTTAAGTCTAAGCGGGGAATTATGAAAACTATGACACTCACATACCTTATGAACATATAAATGTACATTCATTCTTTCATCTTCTGATGTAGCCATAACATTTGTCTATTGATCCATTTATTGCTGTTCCACATTGTCCTCTTAAAAACCATATCCATCGTGAATAAGAATAAGAATAAGAAAACAATAGTCCATCTTTAACACTTGCAATGTAATGTATACTTTTTTATGCACTTAAAAAAATTTAAACTGTACTAATCCTTACTGCAAACTATGAGGTAGGTCCTATTAGTAACCCCATTTTGCAGATAAGGAAACCGAGGCACATAAAGATTAGATAAATTACTCAAAGTCACGTAGACAGCACATGGTCGACTTGAAACTGGGTTCATTAAGTTTAGCTCCATAGGCTCTTAACCGCTGTGCTACACTCTGAAAGTGCAAAAGTCTTACAAAGTTCCCTGACTATAGAATCTTTCTAGATTTTCATGCCCCCCCATCCTTTACCCTTGTCTCACCCACCCTTCATCCCACAGCAACGATTAAACTCTTATTTAGCCATCCCCAAAGCAGGTAGTTTGGCTTTCACAGAAACAACCACCTTCTTTCCTTTTGTGCTCAATAACGAACTCTGTCTTCAAATATTTAATTAAATTATGCAATTGCAGCAAAAGTTCACATGCAGATTTGGGGACAAACATTCTGGCTGTTGGTCAGCAAGCAGCTCTTCTGGAAGGAGGAGGAGTCCACGGGAGTGGCAGAGTGGATCTTCCTGGTCTCAGCACCCAGAGATCGGAGAGGCAGCACTGAGAGCAGACGATAACGAGGCATTTCAGTTAAGAGGGGGTCGGTGAAGAGAACTGCTTTCTCTCAGTTTCCAGTCTCTTTCCATTCTGATCCATTCTGCCCAGAGCCTTCAGAGTGAGTCATTTTCCTAAATGATTATGTCACTCACCTGATCAAAACCACGCAGCCGATTTCTCCATTGCCAAAGAACAAAGTCCTGAGTCCAGCAGAAAATCCTAAATTCTCAGCATGCCTTTTCCAGTCCTTGCTGATTTATCCCAAACCACCCCTCTAAATACATTTTTCCTTCCCGTGCTCCAGGAAGATTAATCTATACTGAGTTGGAATTTTGAAAACCCATAAGAAACTTTATTAATAATTCCCTTAAGCAGAGCCCAGGCTTCTTGTTAAGTCCTCTGCTTCTCTTTTTATTCTAGAAACTGCAACAGCTACAAAGGGTATATAGGAAAGGGAAGGAGAGAAGCAGAAACAGAGCGAGCACAGGATTGTTCCATGAGTACCCTAAGGCCCGGTGACAGATTCAGCTGGTGTGGCTACAGCAATATTTCTGGATCAACATTTTTTTCAGAACCTTGCCATTCTTCCTGCCACAGTGGGGACTCTGTTTTCTAACCTTGATTTTGGGCAGGAGCTTGTAACCACTTCCACAAATAGAACATGACAGAAGTAATATATCATTTCGAAAGCCAGGGCGTAGAAACTTATGGCCTGCATGTGGCTCTGTCCTTTAGGATGCTTGCCCTTTGAACTCTGCCGCCATGTTCTAATAAATTTAAACCAGCTTTTTGCCGAGAAGCCCAAGTGGAGAGGAAGTCCAGTCCCCAGGTGAGAGCCAGTGTTAACTGCTGGACATATGAGTGACTGAGCCTCCAGATGACTCCAGCTCTCAGCTTTGAAGCCCTCCAGCCGAGGCCCAGAAAGCATGGCACAGAGGCAAGCTGACCCCACTAGGCTCTGTTCAAAAACCTGACCCACAGAGTCTGTGAGCATAATACATTGTTGTTTTTCTTCACTAAGTTTTGGAGTAATTGGTTATGCAGTCAGAGTAAGTGGAACAGGCCCTTTGTGCAGATGAGTAGATGAGTAGTATGTTTAGGGGTCCTCTTCCCAGAATTTTGAAGTGGAAATAGCTGGAGAAGCCCTTCCATTTTAGGACTACTTGCTCAATGTTTTTATCCCCAACTCCAGCTCTCCTTTACGACCCGGGTTTCTGCTGGAGTAGGATGTGGTTCTGGGGCCTGGACTTGCAGTCGCAGCCGGCGGCCTCTCACCCCAGGAGCGGGCTGTGCGCATCCCTGCCATTTGCCCCGTGCGCTGGCTTGTCAGACGGTTGCCAATGCAGTCTCACTGGATGATTCTTTCCTCCTTTTGGGCACCCTTAAGCCCCTGGTCAGTGTTTACAGTGTCAGTTAAGGCCAACCTCAGTTATCCTGGGTGACGTGAAGCAGTGGAATTACTGTCTGTGTGCTCCCTAGAAAATCGCTTCCGTTTTAGAATTTCTTCACATATCAATTTGTGCTCAAAACCAGTATTTTCGCAGTGTTGGTGTAAGGGGGGTAAAATGATCACAATGTGCTGTGGGTAGAAGAAAGCTAGGAGAGAGACCTTGCTACTCTTGGCAACTCTTTCCCATCACCAGTCCCAAAACTCTTCCTGCCTTTTGTCCCCTGCAGGCTTTTCTTCGTGGCCTTGCCTTTGCCTGGAAATCCCTGAAATTGTACCTGGAATTGTATCTTTTTAGCTCAGTTAAACATGTCAGCTCCTTTAAGCAGCCGTGCTTGGTGGCATCCTATCCAACTTCATGCCTTCGCAGAATTGTGTTTATAATACTTTTAAATCCTCTTTTTGTGATTAAGACATTTGTTCACATGGATTATGTCCTTGGCTAGACAGTGGTGTCTTTGTTAGTGTTCATTTCCTCCACATTTAGCAGAACGCCTTTCACATAAAAGATCCTCAATACAAGTTTGCTGAGTTAAATTTCCAAGTGATAAGAAATGGTGAAATATTATAATAAGGTTAGAATATTACAATAAGGCTTACATGATATATATTTATTATATAGTATAATACACTTTAGGAATTTAAAACTGGTTAGAGGCCTTGACTTGTGTCTGGTATATGTGTATGTGTGTGTATAGATATATACATATGTATAAATACATATATATATATATATTTCCATGCAGTGTAAATTAGTGTCTCATTTCCTTCAGCATTTCTATAAATTATTGTTCCCACTATTTGGGCTTAATTTTGCCATTAATTTCAGAAAAGGCTCCAAGGGACTTACCTGGGAGAATCAAGGAATTTTAGTGATGACAAGCTATCACACACACCTAGTGTTTAATCTGGATAGTTGGTAGAAGTGTACCCTAATTATTCAGTTCTGATTAAAAATGGACAAACTCTTACAGCAGCTGAATGTGAAAATCTGAACATGGAAAGCGATAGAAAATACGACAAGAAGGAGCAAGAAAAAATTTTCAGTGTTTTAACATAGCTTTACTTTAACTTAAAAAATGTCTGAGCATATTTCTATTTCAAAATATTTGCAAGATATATTGAATAGCTTCTACTTTGAAAGTAAGATAAACTACATAAAATAATTGTTTAGAACAAGTACACATGAATGAATTGTTCTTTAGTAACAATATAATATACATCTTCCATTCAAAGATATTAATATCAATCCTTTCATTATGCAAGATTTTTTTCCAGCAACGGCATTTCAATTAACATACTCATCTATTTCCATATGAACAGGGATCTGTGCTAATTTTATACTAATTCCTAAGATGAATAATTGAGATATTGGATGCAACACCTCAAAAAACTGAATCTTGTTTGGTGCTCAAAGTAACAAGTCCTGAGCCATGAGTTAATCAAGAAAACTATACATAGGTCTTCATTAACATACCAAGAATCAGCCCACCAATAACGAAATCACTGAGCATGCACATTTAATGGTGCAAAATTCAATCACACTTAACTCAGCCTGAAAATATCAGTATCTTAATAATTCCTTGTGTTTATATAGACTAGAACCTCTCCTGTGGAGAGAGCAACGTTCTTTTGCATATCTTTGATTAACCACATTTAGGAGCAGATGCCATTATCCACACTTGACAAAATATCAAAAAGGTGAAGTAACTTAGCCAAGGTCACACTGGCAGGGAGAGATCTAAATCAGCCCTAGACGTCTTGACGGCAATTAACACTCTCCTGAATCCAGAAATAAACAGGACAAAATATATTTCTATACTTGGATGCTTTTAAGATATTATAAGGTCTCAAATGGTGCTGTCACCAACCTCTGCCTCCCTCTCGATGCCATATGCAATGAATGAGGAAGTGTGAAAAGAGAGGGAGGTGCCTGACAGCGGTGTTGAGGCCTCGATCCTGGAAGAGGATATAAATGGAAGCCAGAGGCACATTTATGTACCCAACTATGATGAGCTGTGGCTTGGCCACATGCATTCTATAGTACCATTCAAGGGATGCTGTAACGTGATCATCTGTGACCATGGACTCAGATTCAAAGCACTCAGTCATAATATGGACCCCTTTAAAAACGCTAGAGGGAGAAGGTTGCCACGGATGTGGTTCTGGGGAGCTCCAGGTGTGGGTTAGTCATGGAATAAGGGGTAGAGGAAGTTTGAAGGGGAGATAAACTTGATGGAGTTGTCCTAGGTCCTTTGGTAAGTCCCTAACCCTTCCTCAGCTGTAATTTTGAGGACTGGTTGGTACGTTGTATCTGGATAGAGGGTGCAGATAATAAAAAGAGAGAGAGAGGGCAGGGGTAGAGAGAGAGAGAAAGGGAAGGAAAAGAAAGAAAAAAAGAAAAGAAAAGAAAAGATTAGAAGTTAGAGTTGATACTAAATCTGGATGGGAAAATAAAAGACACACCTGCCTTCATACCTCTGTCCTATGGCTCTGGAAGTAAAAACCTATTTGTCCTCCTGGACTAGATGCTCTTCAGAAATCCTTCTGGTTATATCATTATCTTATCCTGCTTAAGTAAAGAGCTTTGAAAATTATACAACAATAACATTTATTTCCCAAATGCTCTAGATTGTTAACTGTCTTCCCTGAATGCATGAAAATGTGGGTGTTTTTTTAAAGGGATAACAAGGCAAGTAAGGCACTACAAGGTCATCTCAACAGCAACAGGTAGAGAGCAAGATGTCCTCTGCTTAGATATGTCAACAGCAAAGCTCACCGAGAACGTGAACTGACTGATTCAACACATTTCCAGAAGACGAAGGTATATTGGAATCCTACAGAAAACAAGGCTGAGAAAACTTTGCCCATAAATCAGCAATTACTGGTAGTTAGTCAATATCCCCGGTTTGATAAAGTGCCAGAGCCCACTAATGGTATGAGAACATTAAGTCTTTGGTCACAAGGTCATAGCAAGACCTTGCTCAGATTCACTTGGGAGCTGTCTGGGCTTGGAGCTGGTGCTGTGAATAACAAATCTGATATTTTTCTCATGCCTTCATTTCTGTGCTGTACTCGCACTTGGTGAAAAACAAAAGCAGACCAGAGCAGAACAGCTGGGGACAGGGCATTGCTGGTTGAGAACTTTGACACACAGAAAGCTAAAGTCATCCAGCTCATGTAGTCTTGCACGTGCCTGAACTCTATCTCCAAAACCTGCTAATACTGACTGTTGGCATCCTCAAGTACCTTGCAAGGTGGGCCAGCTATAGTCTTCTGAGGCTAAAAGGATGCTCACTTGTGCCATCACCTCATAGATTTTTCTCTTGCACCTGCCTTTTCAATAAAATGACAATAGAATCTAGATTACCTCCCCTTATTCCCAAGGAAATTTAAAGACATCTAAAGGAGTCACATACATGTGTAGCAAGATTTTATCCATGGACTACCTTGTTCAAGACTCCAGTTAAAGTTGAGATACTGGTACTTGGCCATGCTAAATCTTCAGGATTCAGATACAATAGTCATGAGTGAAATGGAGCTTTCTACTCAAAGTGGGGTTCAAGGCTCAGTAGCACCCATATCCCCTGAGAGCTTGTTGTAAGTTCAGAACTCAAGCTCCACCCTAAATCAGAATCTGTATTTTAACACGACTCCGAGGAGATTCATAGGCACATTAAAGTTTGGGAAGTTTTGGCATATGCAACTTTTACTGTTGTTACTACAAATGGCATTTGTCAGTCATTCCCTGTAAAAGAATGCCTGCTTAGATTCCTACTTACAGTCGGAGGCACAGACAAAACTGGAATAAAATAAACCACCAAACACGATTTGTATGTGAGGTCCAACTCTCAGTCTAAATGAACATAAATTCTGATTAGTGGGAGAATAAATACTGATATTGTCCTTACCGAAGAAGTGGCCCCTCCCATCCTCAAAATATGACCTTCACAGAAAGTAGCTCAAAAACCCACTCTTCTGAATTTCAAATGCTTGTGTTGTTTCCCTAAAGAGGTACTCTTGAGTGATTGCCTCGAGCTTGCTTTCTAGCCGCACTAAAGGCTATGGAAAAATATTCATTATTAGGGAAATAGGACATACAAATAAGAAATTAGCTCAAGACCTCTCATCCTATAAAATAGTCTAAT